TGAGCCCTATGTCAACAATAAAATAGTCTTGCCTCCAAGATAATAGCTATCTTACTTGGTTTATGGATTTAGTTTAAGTCATTTTTATTTGGATATTGTTTTTTGAGGGCCAAAGCATCCTAACTAATATAGCTAGCAAATATCTGTTCACACCATGCTATCAAAATCAAGAAGTTAGACCACTGCTACTTAGCTGACTCCACCCATTACCAGTGTCTCTACCTTGTTCCCTACTCTTTCATTCATGTTTTACTTTTCCACCTTTCACTAAGGAGCAAACTCAATGTAAGTATACTCATATCTATGTTTCACAATAAAGTCTGTTTCTTCTGCAACTCTTCAATGATGGTCAATGGGAAGGTACTTTTTGCTTCTACAGTATATTTATCAGTTATGTCTGCTTTTAACAGCATCACGGAAATCTCCCAATTTTTAGCTTACACTTTCTTACTATACAAACTCCAACCCCATACTGAAATTACAGTTGATCTAAAACTTCCAAAGAAACTGGACTCTGGGTGGTAATCACAAAATAGAATATATAGATGTCAAATTATAATGTACACCTGAAAATCATGTAATTATATTAACCAATGTTACCCCAATAAACTTAATAAAATAAAATAATAAATAAATAAATAAAAACTTCCAAAGAGACAATGCTAAAGATAGAATAAAGATTTGCTTTTACAGAGTGTTATCCACATTGATCAATAAATGGAGCTACATGGTGAGGCATCCTAAATGATGATTAAATGAATATGCTATTGTTTTTACACATAAGGAAAAAACTTAACCTCAATTAAAAATAAAGACAGAGACATGAGTAACATACAGCTGGTTCAGAATCCTACCTTAGTACAGTTAATTTTTAAGAGACCTCACTTTTTTTTTGCATGTTACGCTTACGGGGATAAAGCTCCTACTATGATTTTTCATGTTTACTCACAAAATGGAAAGAACTCTTGAACAAGTTGATAAAACCTTTGTTGAATATTATTCAGCAATATAATAAAATGAAAACTTAACCAAAGTAGGCAAAGCACAGATAACCAGCATTTGATTTATTAGGAAAAGTTTTTTAAGAAGAAAAAAACTACAAACCCTGAAAATTTCAGATTTTTTAAGTATATTTTCCTTTATTTTTTGCTTATTACAAAAACATGCTCACTAAAGTGAAAAAATAAAACTTACAAATTTTTCTGAAATCATTTAGAAATACAAAAGTAAATATTAGAAAAAAATTTCCTGAAAACTATGGCACAAGGTTCCAAAAACAATCCATAATGCACCAAAATTATCAATACTTGAAAAAAAAATGGAACTAGGCGATATTCATCTTCAACCAAATTGTTATTGAAGCCAAACTGTTGTGATGATCAAATTGCCCTTAACCAAAGTGTATGCTATTTTGTATTTTCAAACCATCCTCTGATTTACCCTCAGGCCTTTGCATATGGTGTTACCTCAGTACAGGGTACTCTTCTCTCCCCATGTCATCTACTGATAAATGAAGTATTGACAAGCACTTATGAACTAAAACTTATTAAAATTAGTAACATGGGAACCTGATTTTTTTAAAAATCAAGATTTTTAAGTTCCTTGTTTTAAAAGTTCTTGCTTAAAAAATTAAATATTTGATATCATTTGGTTTTATTGTATCTTTTTAATATCTAGATAGGGTAACAATTTTTGTCAAATATAAACTAAGCAACTTTATAAGAAAACAAAATTCAGATAACTATTAAATTCTTTCTATGTTCAAATTCACTATTCATACTTAAAAAGGTAAACTAGTCCTGAGATAAAAGAGTTTGAAAACTGATGTTCTATGTAATAATAGGTTACTCACTGTAGCTCTGCTGTAACTTCAAGATATTGGAAACAACTTACATGTCCATCAATGAGAGACTAGCAAAAATAATGCTGGCACATCCATACAATGAAATACTATGCAACAGAAGAAAATGAGGCGCAATCAGGTAATAAAATAAAATAAAATAAAATAAAGCACATTGAGATTGGAGAGAAGTAAAACTATCTTATTTGCAGATGACATGACCTTGTATACAGGAAAATCTAAGAATCCACTAAAATAATTATCAGAACTAATAAATGAGCTCACTAAGGTTGAAACATAAAAGATCAATATATAATACCATAAACAATTGTATTTCTGTATATTTGCAATGAACAATCTGAAAATGAAGAAAACTATTATAATAGCATCAAAAAGAATAAAATACTTAGTAATAAACAACGAAAGAAGTACAAAATTTATATTCTGAAAAGATAAAATACTGCTGAGAGATAATTTAAAAGACCTCAATAGATAAAGACATCTCATATTCATGAATCAGAAAATGTAATATTGTTAAAATAGCACTACTTTCCAAATTAATCTATAGATTCAACATAATCCCAATCAAAATTCCAGCCAGCTTCTTTGCATAAATTGACCACCCTAAAATTTATTTGAAAATTCAAGGGACTCAGAATAACCAAACACTCTTGAAAAAGCAGTTAGTTGGAGGACTCGCACTGCCTGATTTCAAAACTTACTGCAAAGCTACAGTTATCAAGACGTTGTGGTGCTAGTATAAGGACTGATATATGAACACATGGAAAAGAATTAAAGAGTCCAGAAATAAATCTTTATATTTAGGTCAACTGATTTTTGTGAAGACATTTCAATGGGAAATAGCCTTTTGAACAAATGGAGCTAGAACAAATGGATATCTACATGTAAAAGAATGAAACTGAACTGGTTACTCCAAATACAAAAATCAACTCAAAATAGATGAAAGACATGAATGTAAAAGCTAAAACTATAAAACTCTTAGAAAAAAAGATTGGTATAAATCTTCGTGACCTCTAATTAGACAATGACTTCTTAGATATGACACCAAAAGCACAAACTACAAATAAAAACATTTATAAATTGGACTTCATCGAAATTAAAAAATTTTGTGTTGCAAAGGACACCATCAAAAAAATTAAAATAAAACCCATACATCTGATAAGGGTTTTATACCTGAAATATATAAAGAACTTCTATAGCTCAAAAATAGGAAGACAATCCAATTTAAAAATGGGAAAAAGATGCAAAGTGACATTTCTCAAAGAGATATATAAATGGCTAATGAACACATGAAAAGCCACTCAACATGATTAGCTATTCAGGAAATGCAAATCAAAACCAAAATAAGCTATGACTTCACAGCAGATAATAACAAAGCTTGAAGAGGATATGGTAAAACTGGAACCCTCATACACTGCTGGTAAAAATCAAAATGGTGCTGCAGCTGCTATAGAAAACAGTTTGGCAGTTCCACAAAGGTTAAACATAGAGTTACCATTTGACCCAGCAATTCCACTCCTAGGTATATACCCAAGAAAATTTAAAACATATGTCTAAACAAAAACTTGCACAAGAATATTCATAATAGCATTATTGACAATAGCCAAAAAGTGGAAATAATCCAAATGTCCATCGATGGTGAATGGATTTAAAAAATGTGATATAGCCATACAGTGAATACTGTTCAGCCATAAAAAGAAATGAAATATTGATACATGCTATAACATACGTAAATTTTTTAAACATTATGCTAAGTGAAAGAAGCCAGTCACAAAGGACCATTTATGGTATGATTCATGTCAATGAAATGTCCAGCATAGACAAATCTAAAGAGACAGAAGTAGAAAGTATATATTACTTTTTCAAATTAAATTATTTTTAAACAACTATGTTTTTCATGTATTTATATGTCTTTCTAAATACCAAAATTCTTCTAAAATATTTTTTAAAGCACTTGGAAGCATAAAAGCACGCTGAGGATCAAGGAGAAAAGAACTGGAATTTTAAAACAACTAAGAAAAACTCATAACTAAATGCAACAACTACTTAAAATATTTCTTAGAATAGCAAAAACAATATAACTTTGGAGTCAAACGCACAGGTCTGAATATTAGCCTCCTGTTAACCACCTAGGTGATCATCAGTTTACTTGGTCTATGTGAACCTCAGTCCCGCCTTCTGTTAAATCAGGAATTAGAATGCAACCTACTTTAATGTAAAAAGAAACACTCCAAATACTTACAAATTTAAAGGTGGGGGATAATTTCACTCTTTTTTAAAAATCTACCTGTACCGCTTAAATTTTTTTACAACAAATATATAATTTAAAAACATATGTTTATGAGGGTTAAGATATAACTTACATACAGTAAAATACGAATTAATATTCTTGTGCAACCACACACTAGATGAAAATATAAAGCATTTCAAATTCCTAAAAGCCTCTCTTGTGCCCTCTTCACTCAATATCCTCCAAAGGCAACCACTGTTTGTTTCTTTATATCATAGACTGCTTTTGTCTGTAAAATTTACATAAATGCTATTATATAGTACGCAATCTTTTGTCCCATTTTTTTTACATCATGTCTGCAAGTTATCATGTTCTTAGATGAGACCATCATGTTCTTAGATGAGTTCATTACTCTTCATTGTTTTGAAATATTCTACTGTTTAGATATCTATTCTGTTGATGGAAATTTAAATTCTTTCCAATTTCAGATTGTTATGAATAAAATTTCTATGAACAAAAAAACATAATGAAGATTTTAAAAATAAAAACATCTACTTTATAGAGTTTTTGTGGAGCCATTTTGTAAGGTATCTACACATAGGAGACTCCCAATTAAATTAATTCCCTTAGTCCTTCCATAGCCTTTCCATCTTCTTGAATTCAGGTGAACAAGACTTGGAAGAAGCAAAGTCAAACATTTATTTTTCTGAAGGCAATGGTTATCAAGAAAGATAAATAAGGGCAATAAAACTAAGCTTTTAAATCACTTTCTTCAAACCATACTAAAGAATGTCATCTGAAAATGTCCACGTGTTTACTGATTCTAATCACTTTATACTGAAACTTTAGAGGGGTTTTTTTTTGGCAATGTAAATGATAATACTATCAAGTGAAAAGAAAATTTGTTACCTTAATCTTTTGAACAACGAGACAAATTCAGGATTCAGCTGAGAATATTTTTCACTGAAAAATAAAATACAAATACAAATCATGACTATCATTTATCAGTTTCATCTTTTTTACTCTGAGAACATCCTGTGATAGATTAATGTAATTTAATTCATCTAGGTTGTCACATGCTTTGCAGAATGTGAAAATTAAGAACATTCTCCTATATTCTAATAGATGAATAAAGTGAATGTCAGAAATCAAAGTAGTTTTGCAGGTCAAAAATGCCACCAATGTACACTGGTACTGCTAAAATGCCACCAATGTACATTGGTACTGCTAAAGCTAGTAATGTGGCCTTTGACAGCTGTCTTAAAGACAGACATTATAATGTAGAGAGGAGGCAAGAGAATCAGAATGTTGAGTCAAACTGTGTTCAGAGACTGCAATATGCTGATCAGCTCTGCAGTCAGTCCATGAGGACACCTGCAGAACAAAGGAAGAATTCTGGTGGGATCGCTAACAGGCCATTTGCCACACCTGTGAAGGGAAAACAGGAAAAAACAGTCTTTAGTTGGCTGCCTCACACTGAATAAAATCATTCATTTCCTATGACTAAAACCATAGGGAACCTATGGAATAAAGGCTAGGAACTGCCAACAGGCTTTTCACACTACATATTCTTACCTTTTCATGCTACATACTCTTCTCCTTCCCTTTCCTCACTGTATGCCCATATTAAAGGAGATGGGTAAACAAAGTCTTTAAACTGTGACTCACAGGAACTAAGGAATGATATATAAACTGAATTCTCCAAACACCTGGGGTCCCTCTCACTGCCTTTACTCTCAGTCTCTTTCTCTGGGTCCCTCGCTGTCTTTTTCTCCATCCCTCTCACTGCTTTTTCTTTGCCTTTCTCTTAGTATTCTTTACTGTGTCTCACTATCCTCATCTCTCTTAGACTCACTCTCTGCCTCTGAGAAGAGCCCACACTCTGGCTGTGGAGTCTTACCCTTTTTCCAATAAGCTTTCTTTTTTATCTAAACATTGGCATATGTGTTAAATTCTACCCAATCCACCAAAGGACCATCTTCTCTCAGTACAGGGCTTGGTCTCCCCGCTACTCGGGGAAATTTGCCCTGTCCTGCATCAATTAGACTTTTTCTTTCTTTTTTTTTTTTTTTGCTACATTGTACACAACAAGCATCAAATTAGCCATAGAAGTATACACCCAGAATTGTTCATCAAGTATGCATAAGTACATAACTAAACCCTCAAGTACATTAAAGTTTGCAAATCCTATTCTGAACCATTTAATATATACATTACTGAGAAAATTTCCTGGAGTATTAGAGCATTTCTAATGCACCTTTGTTTTTAGACTATTTCGAGAACATATTTCTGTCGACATAAGAAACGACCAAACCTGTAGAGACTATAAGTTTGAGTCCAAACTGAGGACAACTGCCAGGAAGCAAGAGCTCAAATGCTTCCAAGAATAAGTTTTGCTGTTTCTTTTACTCACTTGGAATTAGAGGGAAGAAAGATTACATGAGGGTGGGAGAAAGCAAGGCAACGATTGTATTACAGGATAGTTAAGATTATATGCTCTCTTGATGGTGGTCACACTTTAAGAGGGAGTCTGAAAGAGGGCAGGTCAAAGGTGTGTTAACCTAGATACACAAAAACAAAGGGCAGAGCTTAAGGCAAAGATAAGCTTTTGACTAAAGAAGTTATAGGCCTGGGGTGTGACTACCTACCATGACCTGCCCAACCGTTAGGAATTTATGATTACAAAACCCCTTTTTCCTCCACACTGTAAAGGGGAAGCACGGTCAGTGAATTTTTCAGTGAATTTTAGAAAGCTACAACAGTGATGGTATCTCAACATCATTGAGTGGTTGAAAGGGACAAAATTAAAAACTTAAAGTGGTAAAAGCCAGTGGGTAAAGGATACCCCAACTCCTAGGCTTTCTCCCTTCCAGTTTCTGCAAGCCACTGGCTTGCATAAAACCAATACTGGAAGACAATAAACTGAAAGGTCCCCGGTGCAAACAGCCAAGCCCTTAGCCAGCCTTCAAGCGCAGCTTCCCCGTCTCTCTTCAGGACCGGCAGGGGGTGGCAGCCCCGCCTGAGAGAGGTGGGACACCCATGATTCACTTGCCCAGGCCCGCCGCCAAACTGCACCACTTCAGCCCCCCGCAGTCCCCAGACTCGCCTCTCAACGACCCCCAGAGGCGGGCACGCCCTCTCCCTCGACAGTTTCCCCTCCCCAAGTAGGTACCCTTCCCCAGAAAGCCCCACCACAAGCCCCCTCCCGAGGGTAGGCCAGGACCATGAACACACCTAAGACACAGCCTCCGAGCAGATCCGGGCAGCCCGCGCGGGCCCTCGCCCCTCCCTGCGGCCCCGCGG